ACTTGAAGGTGTTATTTAAAAGTGGTGAAAAGACAGAGTTTTGTCTGACCTGTTGATAGTTGCTCCACCAGCACTGAGCCTGCTTCCAGCTCTGGGGTTTTGAGGAGGGGTGCATGTGGAGCCTAGCCAGGGGTGTTAGCTGCACAGCAGAGAGGGGGTCTGGAAGGATTCTTTCTGGAAGGATTTGTACTTTGGCTTGTCTGATTCTGACAACAGAAACAAAGGGAGACAATAACACAGGCAGTACAACAAATGAGAGGAAATGTGAAAGAGAGCAGCAGAAGATGAGTGAAACTGAGCAGATGAATAACAGATTAAACCAATGGTGTGCTGGCTGAATGTTATAAAGGGTTTGACAGGATGTTGGTTAATGGGAGATGATCGTAAAAAGGTGTATCCGTGTGCTTTCTGTTGGCAGCAAGAAATATTCTTTCAACTCCACACCCAAAGTGCACTTAGTGAATCTTTTGGAGCTCAGACATACAAACAAAGCCAGACCACGTGATCAATAAAAATATCCCCAGGTGTGACCAGACATGTACACAATGAAAATGGCATACAGGCCAATTCTGCTAAATGACAACATGCAGTGTTTTATCTCCGTTTAACAGTAGCAGTTATGACAAAATCCACAAAACTGTTAAAACCATATTATGGTAGTGCTGGATGTCCAAACATTTGTTTCTGTAGCATGTTTAGTCAATATTCCCACGGTGAACACTCACTCAAATTCTGTGTAATATAATATTTGGTATATATCAGACAAGTGAGAAGGCAGATTTCCATTGAAGTGAGTGATACCTTAAATGCTACACTTGTTGATGTCCCAATAGGAGGTCAATAAGGTTATAGCAGCCAATATATGCGCATTACATAATAACAACTGGAGAAAGAGGGAAATGTGTCTTCATGAAGTTTCAGTTTTATGGCCAGTTAACCTCAATGATTTCCTGGGCAGTGGAGGATGTAGATAAACATGATCGATGGTGTGACCACAGCACTGAAGGAGGCAGCTTTTCTTCATAAGTACTTCCTTCATTTAGCCTCCATTCAAGAGGAAGCACAAGATTGTCCTTGCATAACACACACTAATGATAAAACCCCTCTTGATTGAACTAAAAACACAACTATACAACTATATTGGACTCAAAAAGAACACGTCACAGCCACAAATCTGATTTAGTGACGCCCCTCTCATGGTCTGTAATAGCTGTATGACTTCTACGGTCCTCTCTCATGCCTTGGTTGCCAATATGTTTTGTTTGGATGGTGGAAATGAGTAAAAAGTGCAAAAATTGACACAAGACATGACAATCTCATGTAGCAGGTTGCATGTTGCAAATTTCACAAAGCAGGTTAACCTCAGAAGTCAACTGGTTGGTGATGATCTAGTCCACTTGGGTCTTTCAGGCTATAAAAGCTGGTCCATGTGCTAAAATTGTCCAACACCTGACATCCACCCTGCATCATCTTTTTTTTTTTTTTGCATCTTCAACATCTGTACATCACAAATAATGTATCATCATTATTATAATCATTATCATCATCATCATCATCATCATTTAATTACAGAAAACCCTTCTTGTTGCATATTTTGAGGCAGTTTATGACACTGTGCATGCTTGCAGGAAGCAACAATTTCACTCTGTAAACACACTTTGTGCAAACTGACCATGTTTTCAGTTCATTTTCTGAAGGTGAACATACAAAGAGTTAGTCTGCCCTCTAGCTGTGAACCACAGCAACACTTGCTCATATAATTCTGATCAACATCCAAATTTGATATTGCTTCTGTAGAGACTATACAGCTTCTCACAAACTGGTTTGCCTTAAGCGGAGACATCACTGTTGAGTAAATACACGTGCAAAAAAAGTGAAACTGCAAAGTCAAATTTCATCGCATAAAATTAGGATGTCTGACAAATTATTGTATTTGTCCAGTTAAACTTACAGACAACCTTGAAGTGACTACACATAAACTTAAAAGGCTCTTAAGATGAAACACAAAATCTGTAGATATGAAATCATAGTCCCAGAACAGCTGTTTTTCAACCATTGACTCACTCCAGCTCAAAAATGTTTGGTGCACATTTGGATAATAAAACCATTTCTTAATCAAAGCAAAAGAAATGAGGCATTGAACTTTTCCTCTAAATCAGAAAAGAAAACCATTTGCATTATGCATTTGTATTTCTGTTTAGTGCAGAGACTCTAACATAAATATCCACCAAGTGACAGCTTTGAGTTGCCATTACATTCTCTTCACTGGTTGTTTGTGTTTCTTCCTTTGCTGCAGAAGGTCAGAGGTGTAACCGAGCCCTTGTCACAGACTTTGTATTCTTTAAGAACTATGTGTAGTTTAGCACCTTGGTCACACACCTTTGAGCCAGGAGGAGATAACCAGGATTTAGTCTTAACCTTTGTTTTAATGCTTTATGGGACAATTTCAACTTACCCATCTGCTTGAGTTCTTATCTCATGGACCTTGAATCTCTGCCTCCCTACAGCTTTCACTTTGACTGTTTCAATGCCGTACTCCTGTTCCTCCCTGTATGCATAGATCTCAGCTGTTGTTCCAAACTCTGCCTCCGGCTCAACTGCATCACTGCAGAGACATATGAAGGAAAGATCATGAAATTAAAGCAACAACAAAAAAGAATGGAGTGAATCAGCATTGCATGTCAAGAGACATATATGTATTTTAAAGTTAGAACTGATGCAGTAATGACTGACACGACTTCTGGATCCTAAAATTAGTCAATCTTGCTCAAACACTTGATCCTACATTTTCAACTCTGCAACGTAGCAGCAGTTTTAGATTTTAACCTCCAACAAAGTTCTGACGTTATGCAGGTTGCAACAAAGGCTTTCTATTCACATGTCTAAAGTCTCCAAGTTAAAACCAAGATTAGAATTTTGCAGGCTTTAGAAAGCTTCTCTGTTGTCACTGAAGACAACGTCTTTCACTGGCAAGTACAAGCACATTGACGTGTGCAAAACAATAGTGTGCCCCTTTATCTGGGACATAATGACACCAGTACAACCTGTGATGATTATTAATAGCCGCATTTGCAATTCCACGACTACACACCTGTGTGCGAGCACAGCAAAGGTGCGGTCTCTCTGGATGACGCTCCTCATCATGCTGACCTCCTGCGGCCTGAACAGCTGCAGTGGCAGCGTCTGGCCTGGAACCAGCATCACAGCTGTGTGTGGCAGCACAGGAATGGTCTGACAGCTGTCGTCATCGTGGACTGTGCGGCCATGAAACTCCTCCATGTCTGAACCCAGGTACTGCCGTGACAGGGGTCAGCGTCAACACAACAAGAGAGACTCTACAACTAAAAAACACTGGGAAGGTTGCACATGTGTGGAAGTAAATTGTGTGTTTTGTGTTAAGATGTTAGCCTAAATGGTGACACTCACAGCATGTGATGTGGGAAGACTGGGGTCAAAGGTGATGATGTTGGGCTTCTCTGCCTCCTCACTGTCTCGGTCTTCAGTCTCCATGTCATCCTCCTCCTCCTCCTCCTCCTGCTCATTGTCTGTCATGGCACAGCAAGTTTACAGAGACACACAGAGGCTAGTTAGCTCTTCGCATTTCCCAGGAAAAACTTGAGCTGCAACATCATCATGTTAATGAGTCACTCTGACGGTAAAAGCTAAAGGAAAGCGAAAGCACAGAGTTTAAAATCTGCTAGTGAGGATTTGTGAACCCAGACAGTGGCCTGTTGTGAGACCATGTTAGCTCGCTGCTAGCAGCACAAACACACACTCGCTCTCCGGCTGAAACACTGAGCGGTCTGTAGGTGAGTTTAGCTGTTACCTGGTAGCAGCTGTAACTGGTTCCCCATGTTGTCGTTAATGTTGTCTTCACCTCCACCCCTCTCGTCAGCCATATCCTTGTGTTTACAACACTAACTCTTCTTCTACGGCTCTTCAACGTGCAGCACCAACATGACGTCGGACGCCCCCTGGCGGCACCAGAGGACGATCAAAATACTGTCTGGTTCCTAAACTTTTTCTGTTTTCCAAATTAATTTGACTCATCTCTCAGTTGGGAAACCACTGTATTATGCAACTATTAAAAACAATCCATAAAATTCTGGTGACATACAGAAAAGAGCAGAGGTGAGTTCACTCCTGTGCAATATCACTTAAATGTCACATGACTCCAAATTGCGTTACCTTACACTAACTGCATCACTTCCAAGTTGGAAATTAGGGTATTTGCTTTTATTTTGATGACAGACTCCCATCAGCTTCTCTTTAAAATACCCCAAAGGTCTTCTACTGGATTCAAGTGTGGCAACATGCTGGTTCAAGTCATAGTTTTTCCCTGTTTTCCTTCTTTTGTGTGAGTTTGGAAGTGTGCTTTGGATCGCTACCATGTTGGAATATTCCTCTTCTGCCAAGTTTCTGCTATCTGGGAGGCATCTTGTCTGTAAGTATTTTTGGTATATCCCCAGGCAGTCATGGTGCCATCTATAAATGTCATCTCCCCAACACATTTTGTACTAATGCAGCTCCATGTCATCACATTCCCACATCGGTGCTTCACTGTCAGGACTATGCACCCACTGTGGTAGTCCCGGTCAGGTTTATGGTAAACATGCTGGGCCTCATCTAAGCAGGTGATTGGTCAAGTTCTTTAGCAAAGATGAAACTGGCTGAAAGCAAACAAGGGTGCTTTTCTTTAACGCTGTCCGTAGAGGTTGATGTTATCCGTCCTTCACACTGCCTGAGCAGTAGAAACTCTGATTTTCATTGTAATTATGGTGACACATCTGAAGCACTTGCCCATCCGATTATCAGAGCTACATTATGAAAGTAGTGCACCGTCCGTGGCACCGCTTTAGGAGGATGACAACTGTTCACCGGTCTTCCTGTATCCTTTCCCAATTTTTAGGAAGTCTCAAACTTTTTTTTTTTTTTTTAAGTTATTTTTTTGCCCTTTGTGCCTTTATTTGATAGTGCAGTGAGAGAGAAACAGGAAAGTAGGGCAAGAAGAAAGGGGTAAGGACGTGTGGAAAAGGGCCATGAGCAGAATTTGAACTCATGACCTCCACATCGGGACTGTAGCCCTGTACATGGGACGCCAGCTCAACCAGATGAGCTATAGTGGCGCCCCAGGAAGGCTCAGATTTTTATGTTCTTCTGGCAGTTATTTTCTATGAGGAGCCATGATGCAGATATGCAGATAGGCACAACATTGTTTTTTTTCCTGTTGGGGTCCCCAAATTTTGCACCTGTCTAATTTTGTTTTGATGCATGTTGCACATTTTCTATTTGTCCAATAAACCTAGTTTTTACTACTGAAATATTACTGTGTCCATCAGTTTTTTGATAGATCAAAATGAAGTTGCTGATCCAAACACCCAATGATTTATAAATGGAAATAATGGAAATTGTCAGGGGTGCCCAAACTTCTTCATACCACTGTCCATGAGTCATGATGTTGCAGAATTAGCATGAGAAAATTACACACCACAAACAATCAGACAAGTTAAAAAGAACCAGAGTAGGAACAATTGGTAAATAACAAAGTGATGCAAACTTCAGATGGCAAAGCTAAATGTCATGGAAAAAAAATTGGATGCTTGGTGGTTCGACTCAAGCAGCGACCAGTTTCTACAAACATTTAATCAGAAAGTTGCTTTTTGCAGCATGAATTGCTTTAAGATGATCCATTGAGCTTAGAGATGTTTTGTTTAGTCATAAAAAGACTGCTGTCAAAAATAATTACAGATTCTGTGACTTTTAAGAAATTGTGGGAATCAGTCTTGACCTTTTCTCCACAGGTAAACACTTTGTCTTTAGTTTGTGAATTGGTTTAAATGCCATTCTGTGATTATATTTTCTGATAAGGTGCTGAAGTCTTAAAAGCAAAAGCTGGCCCAGCAGCTTTGTTTGGGAAAAAGTCCTTCAGAAAAAAAATGAGAAAATATTTTCTTAATTAAAAGTTCATTACAATGATGCATCATTGCAGCTAGTCTTTCTACAAATGATAATGCAGTTTTATTAGCATGAGGACAGCAGTGTGCAGGCAGCTTGAAGCAGACTGGAACTGAAACCAGTATAGCTCCTACATTAGGAGGGTTTTCATACTCTGGATGGTAAAATTTACTCATCACATTACTTTCAACAAAGTTTACTGGATAATTCAATTAGAATCCTAAATTCCAAATCTATTCCTGTTAATCTAAGTAAATAATCGGTGTCATGCAATTGTATAAACTGCATACAACGGTTCTGCTTTATACATTTAAAATTATATAAAAATTGAATGAAATCAGATACAAAAATAGCTAACACTTCCTTCCATGTTATGAAATTCGTATAAGTAAATGTAATTTCACTCATAATCCTGTATCAGTCAAAACAAACTAAGGAGATAAAGAATAGGGTATTTTAACAATGTTTATTGTTCAATACACCACATGACAGTTGCAAATAAACAAGATGTATCATGGTCCAAGAACAAAGTAGCTGCAGTTCTGAAGTTGACACGTCAGTCCAGCGTCTTTGCCATCCTCCGGTCCGACATCCACAGTGGGGCCCATCTAGCCGGTCATTTGGAATCAGGGTTTGGCCTGGCTGAGGGAAGCTCAGAGCGAGCCGCTTCAGCAACATGCATCAGTCATCAGGAGAGGTTCAGACGGGAAATGCAGCGGGCAGGGATGAGGGATTACTTTGACCTCTGCCTCATCTTTCTCCTTTTACGCTTCAGCCTGTTAAAAATAAAAATGACCACTGTCAGGAAAATACATTTGCCGCTTGAGGCCCATTTAAAGCCACATGTGTGCATTTTTAATGACCAAAGAAAAGTGAATATGTACATTGAGATTTCAAATGAAAAGGGTGGTGGTTCAGTATCTACAGCATCTACAGTGCTGAAACTTGCCTACAGTACAGATTAGCCAGCTGTTAAATTGTCTTTTTTGCTCATAGTTCAGGATTTAGCTTCGCCTCATGTTGCCAACCTACAACAAGCTGCTGCTGTGAAAATCAAGACTGCATATGATCAAGAAAGAGACTTTATAGTATTTTGTCCCCTTCAAAGTATATCATTTTTTAGCTTTCAAACTATAGTCAGACATATCCAGAGCACCCACATTTCAAACTCAAGTAAACAAGTGGCTGCCAATGATGACTTAATATTATTTTGTAGTTATTCAACTTGCAGAGTTTTACGCATATCATAGGCAACCTGCATATGTTTAGATCACTGATACACCTGCATGTGTTTAACACACTTACTTGCAAGCTCACGCTCGACTACAACTTGTCCTGCAATGCTTAAAACACTAAATTTATGGTTTGAATTTAGCATTCACCTTCATCAATTTTCGGCATCAAAATGGTAGGAATACTACTGCAGCCACAGCATGTTCACATTCAATAACCCTGTCAATACTGCTTATAATCAGCAACAGCCTGTCCTTGATATTTTCATTACCGTTTACCAGATACACTGACCAAAGTTACAGCACTATAGTGTGCTGTAAAAGTCAGGCATTTTGTGATCCCATTAACATGCATGTCGACAGGTTTTACACAAAACCTTCACTGATCATGTGCAAAAACCAACAGTTTGCGGAAAAAAGTCAAGTATTATTAATGCTTACCTGCGCATACGCTTCTTCCTCCACTAGAAAACAAAAGACACATGTATTAGTGTACAGTGTCGCCAGTCCAAATATAGCATATTTGCACATCTGATAGACTATAACTCTAATTTAGGAGTTCTTGTATACATGACATAAGGAGTTTGACAATGTAGGCTCCCTATGTGGACAGTAAAATGAGCAAGAATCAAAACACTGAAACGGGTTAATGTAATAAAAATAAAAATATGTCAGTGCTTTGGAAATACAACCACAGAAAAGGATCTGAACCCAAAAAAAGCCCACTGCAGTTTCTTACAACTGTTGGTCTAACTAATTCGACAATTTAAATCAGAAATATATATTTGGAGAAAAAAAAGGTGCGTGACCAGTGCAAAGCCAGATCTTAATACAATTTCGGACAACTTCCTCATCAATATCCCATATGAAAAAGGTTCCAAACTAATTTCTTAAGCTTCACTTACATTGCTTTATTTTCTATGCAGATGCACGCCAACAAAAATCAATCATTCATGATTTACAGTTCAAGGTATCCAAGCGTTTCGGTACAAGGTCCTGTGTTTTTTCATACTACAACACATATCCAAGAACACTAAATCCTTTCAATGTCACGTGTTTTCCAGTGTTGTGCAGCCCTCAAAATACTGACTGTGACCACCAGCATGCTTGTTATGATACAGATAAACTGCTACTATAGCCGCTGTCTGCTACACCGGTTCTTAAAATCATTGGACAGTGATGCTATAAACAGGCCCTTCTTCCATTAACACATGGCTACCTGTGTTCTGCGGTTCGCCGTTGCTAACATCATAGCATGCAGCAAAGCGGGGCCTTCCACTAGCATGAGCATTTATATCACTTTGAACAGATATCTAAATTATATAAGTTTGGGTTTAAATTCTTAGCCTTTTCCAATGACTGAGCAGTAAATACAATGCAGAGAAGTCATGAAATCACAAAAACAAGCTCCAATAAAGAGGCAGGTGTTATACAGCTACTAGCTAGCAGCATTGACTGAACCGGGAAGAAGATTTTTAAAAACTCTAAAATATTGACACTTTGTCGGTATCTTACCTTGGCCCTCATCGTATGGAGAGGTTTCTGTTGAAATAAAACATAGAAAGGATCAGTGACTGCAGATGATTAATAAAATTCAATGATTAGTATGGATTGTGTTTAGCGGAGAGACAGTTTTCCATACCTCAAAGCGAGAAGAGCAACGAAAGAGGATGTGACGAAAAAACAGCGCGCATTTTATAGATAGATTTACGTCATGTTCAAGCGCCATTATAGTGTCTC